GCAGGAAGTCTGAAGTATTTAATACCTCACTTTACGCCTGTACAAATATCACTTAACTCAAAATCGATTCTACTTCAATACTTTTCAAGAAAATGATATTAACAAAACTTGGTCGTTACAATTGTTTTGACCCATTTGGTTCATCCATTCGTCGTAATTCCAACATATCTAACAATAGGTCATCTGCACACATTTCTGCAAAATCCGATGAAGACCAATTTTATAATTTATCTTCTTCCTCTTCCCCATCCACTGCTTCGTCATTAAATGTTATAATGCCGCAAGTAGCACAGACACTTCCCTCAGAAATTTTGATCGAAATCTGTGAATACCTTCATCCAGTCGATTTATATTCTTTGGCATCTGTTTGTAAGCGATATAGAAACTTGTTATGGTCAAAATGTTCAACTACTACACAAGAAATCTGGAAAAATTCTAGATTAAGATATGTTCCAAATCTCTCGATGACACCGCCTACGGAAATGTCAGAACAAGAATACATTTGGTTGATGTTGATATTAAAAAAATGCATGTTTTGTGAAGAGAGAAATAAGTTTGAGTTAACAATGTATTGGGAATTCAGAATATATTGCTGTCAAAAGTGTTTGGATGATAGAACCGTTAGGTAATCGTTCTGTTGTAATAAACATTGTTTAAATGGTACTTTTTTCTTGAGTTTAAACTAACAATTTAACAAATTGCTTTTGCAGCCGTCATACTCTGCTTAATGAATGGAATGTTCATGACTTTCTTTTATCATGCTTCACACAACTTCAGCGCAGTTCTAATCCACGAGATCCGCCTTTGTATTTAATTGAGAATGTTAGAGCTACACTTAGTCATTATAATCGATTATCAAAAGATGAGAGACCTCAATGGATTAAAAACCAAGAAAAGAACATTTCGAGACTTCAATTAGAAAATGAACAATATAACAATATACATGATCTTACGAGATATGACCATACCGAAAGATTGGAAAGGTTATTGAAAAAACTACATGAGTTTTATACATGGCCGAAACATAGGTCAATGTAGATAGAGGCAAATAGATGGAGGTTACATAAACTAGATTAGATCTTAAAGGCTTGAATTTTTTGAACATTTTTCCTCGTTAGATTTATCACTTCTTTCATAATAGCATTATATAAAAAAAATACAATAATACATCATTCTATTAACATCAATTTATGCTTGGTAAGTAATAATGCAAAATTGAGTTATATAATCATTAATATTAAAGACTTGAATAAACGAGTTTATTGTAATAGAACTTGCTATATATATGTGTATATTTTTTCTTTTTTTTAAAAAAAAAATCCCATGGAAATAAAAACGTCGGCTTTTGTTTGATATAATTCCAGAATCGATATACGAAAAGTTTTTAAGATTTCGTTTCACATTTATTTTATCTCACGTAGTGGGATATTTTTTAAAATCCTTGATGTCTATACAATTTATTTTCCTATCATAACCTACTTAAGCGTGATTTAATTATATAACTCAGTAAGAACACATTTAAATCTTTAAAAAGGTTTTAATTTTAAATTTACATATAATACATAAAATTTTTTCACATGTTAATGTCATTTATGTACTGGAAATACACAAAAAATTCAATTAAACACGATTGGTTATACTATAAGCAAAAGTTGGCTTCTAAATTAACGTTTTCTTTCAAGTGGAAAAATCTTTGGAGGAAGTACTTTGCAAAAAGCCAAGACATATTCTTTAGGGTTAACTTGAATATAGTCTTCGTTATGATAATCATAAACGTTATGAATACGAATATTATGTCTTGGACTTTCTAAATGCTTATAAATTCCTTTAAGATTAAAGAACCTAGAGTTTGAATAATATGAAGTATTCTCAGCACATAATTTACATTCGAATAAATTATAACCTTCCAAACCACGAATAATAGCTTCTTTAACAGTCAAAAGTAATCCAGGTTGGCTTTGAACGTTTATAGCTTCTTCTGTAAGTTTTGGTAATATTTCATTCAGGAAATAGATATCATCCCATGGATCATTGTGATCATTATTTTTAATTGGTGGATATTGGTATGTTGGACAATGTTTGAGAATATATTGTCGCAAGTCTAATATATCCATAACAATTTTTGGCTTATGACAATTTTCGATACGGCTATATTTAGTACCGGTAACGGTAGCAGTTAAAATCATCGGTTTGGATTGAATAATTATATTTACTCCAACTACTAAAGGACTTAAAGATCGTTTCTTTAAGGTGAAAGCTGTTAACCCTTCTGTCATTTGTCTAATTCCAAGAGTGCGAGGGTGTGGCCATAGTTTTAAAATCCACGTCCTTATTTTTTCTTGTGCATCAGTTATTACTGCTTTTCTGGCATTAAGTCCTTCTTGTGTCATTTTAAAAAATTCGGCTGAATTTGGTGATTTCATTATCTGTAATTCTTTATAGGTTTCCTCATTTTTTCTCCAAAGCTGTAATGTCTTTTTTGCTTCATTGAATGTTTGGTCTTTAGAGGATTCTCCTAGATTAGAAGTAGTGTTTGGTGTTGAATTTTGGGATGCTGGAGTAATTTTAGTTACTGTGCCTTGAATATTTTCAGAATTATTGTGGTCAATTACATTTTTTTTAGTGGATCCGATAAGATCTTTAAGGCTAATTCTTATTTCTGACGGAAGTTTATTGGATGAATTATGACCTTCAAGTGATGTCAAATCAATCAAATCTGGCTGTTCGCTAGAAGATCTCGTCGTTTTCCAATCTCGATAATCAGTATCGTGATAAATAGCTGTTTCAACAATTTCAAATTGTAGCTGCGTGTTAGAATGTTGTATAACCTTGTCGACATTTGGTCCTTGCAGTATATTGGAGCTATTATTACTCATTTTAAGTTATAAATCAATTGTTTTTAAAAATCTTCTGGTTCCACAAAAAAGAGAAAATTAAAGCCATGCAGATCGCAAAGACAAATTTTTAACACAATTTATCTAAATTGGTCTAGCATTAATACACGTGATATCTTACAGAGACCCTTTGCAGATACATTTAGAATGAATATTTCGAATGAACCGGATGTCGTGTTAAATCCATCAACTCATAATTTGGTCTAATTAAATACAATGCAGTTAATTAGCAAAGGCATAAAATTCAATTGCATTACCTATTAAAAGACAATTTTAGAATTTGTGCCGGTTTGATGGTTTTTTACGTGTAACATAAAATTACCTAGGCAATCAAATTTGTACCCTAATTTTGATGTAACGCCAAAGGGAAACCCGTAAATCAGTTTTTGGGATTTTCAAAGTTACTTTATTATACGACAGGGTGAAACCTGCGTTGCGCTGTGATCATCATGTGAGGGTGAAATCTACTTTTATCGTTATAGAATAAAAAACATAATCAACCGCGTAACTTGATCTACATAGCGGGTTTAGCTAGCAACGTGATTTCACTCTGTTCTTTTATTATTACCTAACACGAAAAAAGGACTTGTAACCATCAAAAAGGGTTCCCTTCCACTTGTAATGGGTGTGTCAACTAAGGACAAATCAATAATTTATTTGTTATTATTCGTCACGTCACACTCCCAGTTACAAACGGAATGGTTACCTTTAATTTCTCAAATTTTACAATCTTATGTTAAATTATTGTAGATTTGGCAACCCAAGTTGATACAAAATTCAACTTAAGTTGATCTAAATTTGATAAATAATTCGTTAAATTTAATGTAAATTGCATATTATCTTTATACGTAATAATCATCAAAATATCTATAATACGAATTGTTACATTATTTATTTATTTTTATTTTTTTACATTTTTTACAAAGATACTCTTATGTCAAAAAATCCTGAGCTGAAGATTACTTCCAACCCAATAAAATCACTAATTTTTTTTTAATTTTGGCAATACTGCTTTTATTTTATTTTCATGAACATAAAGTAGATATGGTGTAGTTATTTTTGATTATAATAATAATTAAATTTTTTAAACCAAACTTTTTTTTTTTTAATGTTAAGGTAAGTACATGTGATCCAGGATTTTATTAATAGTATATATAGATTAGCATCTGTTGATGTAACAGACACAGAGACAATTATAGAAGAGTGTACAACTAGTCACTTGTACAACTTTAGTTATTGTCTAATTTAAGTAGTTTGTCCAAAGGTTTTATACTAGTTGTTATACTTAGAACTTACCTGTAGGTTCTTTATTTAAACACTCTGATCTTATATCCATCACATCTTACTAACAATTCTAATAAACCAGTAAAGATATGTTATGATCATTAAGTTATGTTTAATTTGATACTAAACCCATTAGAGTGTACTGTATCTCATACTTATAGCTTACCTAGTATTACTTTGACCTAAATCATTACTTATAGTCAGAACTAATCATTAAACTATTATATTATTATAAGATTCATTTAAAACTCTGGTATCTATCTTTTTGATATCTTCTCTATTATCTTCTATTAACTATTACTCAGAACTAACAGAACTCTTTAGATTTTTAATTCAAATAGTTCAGTATAATATACCTTAGTATTTTTTTTTTCAATTATTACAGCAACCTAGTTGATCATGTATTCCTTTATATATCTTGTTATTTGGTTTATCTATCTATTCCTTTAGAAGTATTTTATAGATTTTCATTAGTCTGATAATATCATTGAAAGGTTTTATATTACTTTCTTACTTGGGATTTTTAAGTAGATTTTTGATTTTTTAGTTTCTTTGCCTTCTGTGTTTGGTAATCTTATTATAAGTTTGTATTGAAATCTTATACAACATCAGTTATTAACATTCTTCTATGTAGATATAATATTATATTTTATATAAATGTCCTAAGCTTTTATTTGAGATGTTGCAACTGAAAATTACAAATACACTAATCTAACTAATTGATAGAAATAGTTATCATAATATAGGTATATTTTCTAAAATTTATTGTTTATAAAATTTGAACTTTAGATCTGTCACTTGAAGATTAATAACCTGATTATTTTATTAGGTTATTACATTTCTTAAATCAAATTTTCTAAAAAGTTAAACTACAAAAATAATATAATTAATATATTAAATTTTATAAAAATTTTTTAAAATATTGTATATATATAGTTAAACATTAAAATAGAGTTGAAAAAGAAGTTGCAGTTTTATAATAATGATTTAAAAGTATTCTAAAACTATAAAAGAAGTATAAAAGTTAAAATTTTTTATTAAGTAAACAATAAAGTTGAATATATTAATTCTATACAATTATAAAATCTACAAAAAATATTCATAAAAATCAAAAATTTATAAAAGTTATAAAGTTGGTTTAACTAGTATCTTCATTATTTTCAAAAAAAAATTTTTATAAAAGTAGATAATTCAGTTTATTTCTTTTTAAAAATCAATAAATAAAATCATCAAAACAGTTAGTAATATTTATTTTTTAAATAGAATTGTTAATAATATAGGTCAAAAATAATACAACAATATAGACATAATTATACATATGCCTCAAGTTGCTAGAAATCTGTTAAATATTACTTTCAACTAACTAATACCTTATACTAACTCTCTATGATTAAGTTAAAATTTTTTATTTCTTTATAATTTTTTGTTAAATAATTTATAAAATAAAAAAATAATAAAATAATTTCTATTTAGTATAATTTATAATTTTTAATAATCTAATATAGATTTATAATTGTAATTATTTGATATCTATAAATTATAAGTTTTATGACTAATACAGACTTAAAATTATGACTATTTGATGTTTTTGTGAATTATAAGTTTCACTTTTTTTTTTTATTTATTTTCTTTTTTTTATTTCTTGTTTGTATTTTTGATTATTTATCTCTATACCTCTATATTTTTTGTTTATATATAAAATCTTTTTTGTTTTTTTGTCTTTCTACAAGAAAATATTATCAAATTAGTAGTATCTTATTGTAGAACAGTAGTTAAATAAACAATTTATCTTTATTTGAGATAGTATAACAAATTGCACTTAGGTATCAATAAGGTAGTTAAATGATATTGAATTTAAGTATTAGAAAAATATTATATAACTTGTATAGTTTTAAGAATTCTAATAAAGTACTAGTATGAGGATAGTGATCCTAATATAGTGGTTGGGTTATTATTCTCTAAGTGGCAGGTCTAAGATTCAAATCCCACCAATGATGAAATTTGAAAATTATATTTGTATTATAGTAACTGTCATCTATCAATCAGTTGGTTTTATGTAACTATAACCTAGATATACCAAGTTAGGTTCTATTAACATTAGGAACTCAGGTCATCTACATTAGCAAAATTATAGATGTAAAATATTTTAAAAGATTTTACATAGTACAAAAATTTCAAAATAATATAAAAGAAATTTTGAAATTTTTATAAAATGCAAAATACTTCAAAATATTACAAAATAAATTTCAAAATTATTGCATTATAAAAAAACTTTTGAAATATTGTAAAAAAAATTTCAAAATTATTGCATAACATAAAATATTTCAAAATATAGTGAATAAATTATCTAAATATATAAAAGCCAAAATATTGTGAAATAAATTTAAAATTATTAGAAGAATGCAAAATATTTCAAAATAATTTAAAATATTTCAAAGTTTATTAAAATTAAAAATTAATAATGAGGAGTGTGGCAATCTAGTAAAGTGAATAGGTTGTTAACTTCCAAGTGCCAGGTCTAAGGTTCAATTCTCATAGATGACAAATTTTAAAAATTATACTTATGTTATGATAACTGTTTTTTGTTGATCAGTTGGGTTTATGCATCTGTAATTTTAGGTATATCAAGTCAGGGCCTATTTGATTTTGAAAGCTTGGAGCATCTATACAAAGTGTAATGTTACATATATATAGAAAAATGTTAAAATTAGTATTGCATAAAGCTTCAGTATAAACCTATAATAAGACCACCAGATGTAGAAACTAAGAAACTGAGAAGATAAAAGCCTACTTGGAAATTTCAAGTAAAGAGATAATACAAATCTTTAATAATACTGTTAGACCAATAAAAGCATATAAAACACCTTTATAAGAACTATTGAATAAACTAAATGACAAGATGTGTAAAGAAGCACATAACCAACCAGGCCACTAGAATCTCTGAAAGAAAAAAGAATACATAAGTATACTATATCAGGCTATCTGAATTGAAAGTTTAAGAAAGTCTGTTATTAGTTCCAAGTTGTAACTAGTAAGAGATGATAGAGAAGAAGTTGGAAAGATGAGTACCAGAGTTTGAGTAAACTTTATAAGAGTAATAGCAGTTTAATAAATAATCCTGACTGCAAATATTGGTCTCAGCCATAGCATCAAACTAAGTTAGTAGTAAAAGAAAATACAACTCACTCTGGTAGGTTTGTCTTAAAGATAAAAATAGTCTAAAAATTATAATTCTATAGTTAAAAGTGAATAGATCTAAGTCTGTGATTTGGTAAAATTAATACTAAGATCAGATCAAAAAGTTTAAATAGAACATCTAAGCAGAGATGTTAGATATGACAACTGGTAATAAACCCTTAGATGGACTTCTTAAATAGGTAATTTAAAAAAGTTACATCTTATTTTAACTAATTAACAGAATGCTATCATCATAATACTATTTATATATTACATAGGTAATTATCCAAATTTTTTACTGTTAGTGGGTTTTGACCTTACTATCTACTACTTGGAGAATTGACAACTTATCCATTTTACTAAGTCACTACACCTCTTAGACATTAACTTTATTAATAGTATCAGAGATAGAAATATGACACTGTGCAGTGCAATTTTCATAATTCTAGCTAGCTTTATAAATTATATTTGAATTACTAATCGAAAATTAGTTCAGATTAGTTTAAAAAAAAAACAGATTT